GGATAAAGTACAGTAACTGAACTAGGAACAGCGTATTCCCATTCTCCCTATCTCTCTGGTGACTGAACTACCTACTAGGCTATATATTCATGTTTCCTCTTGGTCTCTGATTTAATCAGTCTTGACAGTGTAAAATAGAGAAGGGTGACTGCATCAAGATCCCATATTTAAGGCCTTCTGGCAGAGGGGAGCATTTGCATAGATGTCTCGTGGACTCTGACCTCCTGCCCTTTTTTCCTGTTGTTTTACAGCCCCCCTTCACAACTGGCTTTCTCTGAACACAGGAAACAAAAAGGCTCATCCTTCAGTGTCTGAAGTTCTCTTGTACTCACTGCTCCAGCAGAGCTGCCCTTGACAATGTATTTTCTGAACGTACTCCACACCTCATTAGTTTTTTCTGGTGCTGAGACTTCTCTCAGCACAGATTAACTGTAACTGTTACTAGCATTGCATAAAGGAGAATGATGCATTTTACTATACTCTTTGCAATTAAGTCTGGTTTTCTACCTGGATACCTGGTGCAAGCATTTTGGGCACTGCCACATTAAATTAACAAACTGCAGAAAAAGAAAGGCAGTGTTTGTTAGGATGGATGATGTTGGAGAGTATATGCAACACTCACAGATAAGTAATCTGCACTCCTCCTTCTTGTTTAAAATGGAGTACAGTAACTTTAACATCATTGTGGACTGGCAACTGAATGTGAAATCTCAGCGCAACTTTGAAATTAAGGGAGCACATGCCTGGCTGCTGAAGCATAGGAATATTAAGCAGAAATAGAAAAGAAGTACTATCTGTGTGAGGCATATGTGAAATGGTCACTGGGCTTAATCTTTAAAGCACTACTGTCTACGTTTCAAATTAGAGGTTGCACAGCAAACAAAAAAATTCAGTAGTTTGAAGAATGATTTCACAAGACCTAAAGGCAGTATAGTTTATCCAAGAAATAAACAAAAACTGTAACAGTTTACCACTACATGCATACAGGGGCTTTGCCTGCTGTACCAACTCTTTAAATCTTGTCAGAAAGGCAGTAACAATGTATTAGGATATTAAGACTAGACCGATTTTGATGGGTGATAAAATTTAATAAAAATGCATTAATAATTTCTTAGAGATGTAGACGATCCTCCATTATTTGAAGTCTCTGGGTACCTTTCTAAAGATAGCACAAGATTCAACATCGCTGATCTGATTCGGGAAAAGCTCTTTGCTTTGCATTATGCAGGGATTCAGACTGAATGAACTTTTTTTGTCCCTGTTGACCATAAAGTCTATGAAGCAGAATTTTTCAGTTTGAAACCTTTCCATAAAGCTTTCTCCTCTTTCTAAATATACAAGAAGTTACTGCAGGGAATTGAGGTGGTGTCTCTCTTCCAGTTGTGGAATACTCCCTTCAGCCTCCAATCTTCTGAACCATTTCCTTCCCAAAATATCCCACATAAACTACACTGAGAGTAGTCCTTCAGTAAGGACCCCATGGCTAACCTCAGTTCTGTTTAGAAGCTTTTTATATCTTTTCCCTGCCTGAATTCCTCTGCTCCTTCTGAAATGTACTAATTATCTAAACAGATTATTATGTAACATTTTTACCTCTTTTTAATAAAGGAAAAATTAAGTCCACTGGCTTCAGCATAAAGCTTTGAAAGATGGGAATTCTGTTCAGAATTTGTTCAGAAGTAGCAGATTACTTAATGTATGTAACAAACCTTTAGAGGGAGTGAATAATCCCTCATCTTTTACTCTGCTGCTGTGTTAAGATCTATGGCATCCAGTTGAGCTTTCTGCTGCATGTGGTCCACAAAGGTCCCATGAGAACTTTGCATAAGACCTGGCTTTGTTTATACATCCATTAGTTAAAGACAGACAGAGCCGAAGGACAGCATTTAATGTTTATTAAGCTTTTGCAAAAACACAGACACTTTTCAGTCAACTTGAAATTAATTATTTTAGTCAAATTCAAGTATTTCTTGCACATCTCACTGGACTGGCACTAGCAGTAGAGGTGGCAGCACGAGCACAAAAGCACAGAATCAGAGGGCTGAGTCTGCATAGATTTTGAAGGCTGTGCTATACAGAGAACATGCCAGATAGGGTAACAAACTACAGGCAGTTTCACCTTCGCTCCATTATGAAACCGGTTATTTTATGCTGTGTTACTGGATGGTTGTTTCTTGTGTGAAAAAGACAGAGGCCTTCTGGTGAGTTTTCTAAGCCTTAAAGGATGTATTTTGCATACTAGTAAGCACAGGAGGTTCATTTGCATAAAAGATATGCTGTAGAAAAATACATTTTTAAATTCTCATTTTATCAAATTCAGACTACATCTCCATATCTATGCAGAATAACACAAAGCTGGAAAAGCACCTGATATAAATATCTTCTCATCCCATTTGCTCTTAGAGAGGATCCATGACGTGAAAATGTCACCTGAATGCATGCCTAGCAGCTATTGGCAGCATGTCCCCTCCTTCTGAGCACCTACAGGCTGTATAATTCTGTTCATCTTTCTGGTTATGGAAATCTGCTGGCAGTAAGATCAGTGCAATTCCTTGAAGTAGTCATAAAGCCCTTGTGACTGCTTTTGGAAGGGAGTGGAGAGACAATTAGGACAAGTCTCACCCATTTTTTTTCCTTTTTTCAAGAAATAACTGAATTACCAGAAGAATCAAAAAAAGTTTACACACATGTATCAAATAGGGTTGGACTACGTGACCTGGACGGGACACCCAGATGTCCTTTCCAACCTCCACCATTTGTTATCCTCTGAAATTGATCTTCTTAACAAAAAAAAACTGTTGAGAAATAATAAAGTCTTTAACAAGTAAGGGGTGAGGTCCTCAGACTATAGTGACAGGGGAAGAAAATCTTTAGAAGGCGCATTAGTGTGCACTGAGAATCTGTCCCAACACAGCTTCATGTTTTCTATTCTGTAGGTCTGGAATATTCGTAAGACCAGTCAGTGCCTTCAATTAAACGGAAAAAAAAGCATTGATTTTTTTAATATGAAAAGGGACTTGGGTTACCGAACTCTCAAACCCCTTCACATGAGAAACAAGGGAATGAAAGGATTACGCACAATCTGAAGTTCACTGAAATGTAGGAGCCACAGGCTTCCATTACATGAAAGAAGTGTACTTCAGAAAATGGAGAGAAACCCTGAAGCCCACAGTCAGAGAAACTTGAAGACAAAGCAGGATTTAGCTCAAACTCTCAAGCAAAAAGCTAGCAGCACAAAAGCATACGGCAATAAAACACAGCTTATATAAGCTTTTAAGCCATTCAAAATAAAAGATGGATTTTCCATTCACTAAATACTCCTGCTGAAGAAAAGCATCAGCATTATACAGATCATGAGAACAGTTTTAAATTTTTTATTCACCTGGGGATTAAGTTTTACCAACAACACTCATGCAGAAGTACTTTTTGCACTGAGTTTCAGCAGAACATCACATACTGCTTACAGCAAACCAACACCTTTCTGCTATTTCACTCTCCTTGCAATGTTGTTCTTTTCCTTTTCTCCAAGCAAATTCTATTAATCATTAAACATTTAAGGCACAAACAGAAAAATAAATAGTATCTGTAAAAAACAAGTCAAATACTTAATGAGCACACCTTATCTGAAACTTCCAAGTCTCACTGAATAGAAAATATCAACACAAAAAACCACTAATGAAATTGCTTCTTTATCCTGAGGACTTTATACACACTAAAACAATTTAATAACTTTAGCTGTCTAAATCATCTATTCACTCATCTTTCATTTTTAAATAGATAGATAAAATGCAGTCAGTTCCTTTGTGGATTTCTACTCCTACTGGGATGTCCAGCATCAGGACTGCCCAATTCACACAATTCATGCAGCAACACCAAGTTGCTCCCACAGGGACATGTAAGATAGACACCAAACAGGGGAATGCAACTCACCAATTATAAGCACCTACAATGAAGCTATCTATGTAGCAGCCAGTCTTTTGAGATTGTCTGTTATCAATGGGAAGAAATAGATCCCTGCTGTGCACAATTCACTGTACCCTAAAACAGATGTCTGCAACTGTCTGTATTCCTCCACTGACTATAAACAGAGCTTAAACTGATTAGCCAAGTTGCAGAGTCTACACTATAGACATCAAAGTCAATTAAAATTAATTCCACCTTAAGATTGTATGCAGGTGTCCTCTTCCAAGTCTGCCTGTGCAGCTGAAGATGGAACTGCAGTGACTTGTCTAAGTAGTACAGCTGTTGGCCAAAGGAATGTCTGTTTATAGCCTAAGCAGGCTTTGGTTTATTGTTTAGACAAGACTGAGGAGTTCAGACATTCCTCAACGTGGTTTATTATTATTGTAGCAAAGATGCTTGAGTCTTCTTCTTACAATCATCATCAAGATGGGTTAAATCAGGTACTGTTTCAAGCTTACTATTTAGTAACTTCAAGGCATTAAATCCCATTCTAAATAAAACAAGGGCTCCTTTACTGGTCTGATTTCAACTTCCAGCAATTACAGACATTTGCACAGTACCTGTTCTGAGATACAGAGGCACATTTAGAAAATACCAAAGAGCACACCTGTATCCAGACCTGATCCCCTGTTGACAAAGCAGATCTGTAAATAATTTTACCATCTCCTATGTGTAGTTACACAGTGTCTTTTATGAATAGGAATGTTTAAAAGCTGTTTCAAGAAGAAACGGTAGTTCCTTACATACAGCTGGATTGTTTTGAGATGGATTCTGGCATTCACGTTACCTTTCTTCCCATACTCTTTTTCTTCAAAATCTTAATTATATTTTCAACATAATGAAGTAGGAGGAAAGAGTCAAAGTGTCAAGACTCCCATGTACTCTTCAGTACTTTGACCCTTGAGGGGCAAAGGAAGAAGCCGTTGACACCTACAACAAAAGCTCACTGCAGTGTTTCATTGGGTTCTATCACGCAGGAGCTGCTTATGACTGATTCTTCCCCCAGGTGTCCATATGCAGCATCCACCCCAAAGAACTCTGATTGAAGTTATTTATCTTTATTCTCACAGTTAAGATAAAAGATATGCAAATATATTTCAGGTTTGTACATTCTATGAAATAATTATTTTCTATATGTAGAATAAAGCAAGCTTGCCCCTACAGAAAAGTGGTCCCTGCAAAACACAGCACTTCTGTTTTCTCTGGATTAAACAGATTCAATGACACTTTTTAGATAAGAAAGCCACTAAACTTTGTTCTGCAAAAGCAATCTTGCACTGGTAACAATTACCAAGTCCAGTAATTGATGATTTAACCTTCTATTCCTCTTTTTCTAGCAATTACAAGTTGCTTGTAAGTTTAATTAGTTAATATTTCTCCCCAGTGAGTAGGTCCAACATGATGTGCAAACGCTTACATTGCCCTGTAAGGCATTTGTTCCCAGAAGAGATGGGCTGGCAGCATGAAAATAATTAAATGCCAATATACAATTGGCCTCTTCTATGAAAAATAAACAGGCACAAAGACAAACTGTTCCAGTGCTTATACTAACCAACAAATGTTGAGATGACTGCTTATTTTAAACACAGCAATGAGGCTGCAGTGCAGTTTACAGACTTCCATAAACTCAGTTTAACAATTTAGACTGTGTTTGTAACTAAAGTTCTTATTTCTCTGATGAATCTTCATCTGCATTAACCTCCTCTCTTTTGAGCCACGTAAGTGCTGACTTTGCTGTGCCATCTCCACTCTGTTGGGAAAAGCAAAGGAAGGCAGCCCAAACAAAACCACAGAGCCCAGTATAAGCTGTTCGCAGGTAAACAGGCACAAAAATGAAGTTTGACAGCTGCATTGGAAGGAGAGAGAGCTTAGTTAGTGCTCCAGGCATGGTGAGGTCTTACACCTACACACCCAGCAACTCCACTGACTTCTCGCTGGGTTAGATATGCTATGACCATATCAGATCAGGTTTTATGAGAAGGCAAGGCTGAGTTACCCTAAAAACTCACCTGCACGAAAGGCCAATACATCAGTCCCGTCTGAAATGAAAATGAATCATTTGTTATTCTTACAGAGTTCAATGACAAAGATTCATTTTTTTCTTATCACATTTAGAAAAGACTGAAACATACTTGAGTAAAGTTAATAAAACCTGTTCAATTTTAAATTAAGTTGCTTAACTTTGAGGTTGCAATATTAAGTTTCTAATAATCTTCATGAGACTCTATGCTAGGAGTTTCCAAACACATTATTCTAACTAATTTTAAATATGAAACTCTAAGCACAGTTAAGTCTTGGCAGTCACCTGACACCAGATACATAAGCTCCTTTACCAGATGGGTGAACAAATGTTTAAATACGTGAACATTTGTTTCAGCCATGAATGAAAAATATCACTGAACGCTACTTCACACTTGCAATGCTCTTTCCAGTTACTCATATATGCAGGCTTTTTTGGAAAACCCAATGGATAATTTACTCATAGAACAGAAGGCTAATAGAAACCTTATGGTTTGATAGCATATAGTGGGCACTGTTTTTAGAATCATCCTCCACAGGAATAAAAATAATCCTTTTCTACCCATATAAGTCCATAGTGTGAGGAGAAATTCATATTGCATCACAGTTTTTCCTTCTATAACTTTTTTTTTTGCTAATCTATCATTTTCTTATACCTGAGAAATCTTTAAAATTCTTAATCTGCCAAGCTCTGAAGTAGCACAGATAATTTTTTCTTCTGTATGCAGAAAGTCAAACCAAATCCAGCTATTTATATCGAAGTCATCTTAAAACAAGAGTATTGTGGTTTTGAAAGTGATAAGACTGTCACTGAAAAGTACAGGCTGAAAATGATTCCTAAAAAAGATGTCTCTATAATTAGTGATTTTAACAGGTGTCCCTGTAAGAGTTGTCAATGACATTACTAACTAAACAGAGGGAGGTACTTCTTAAGATAAAAGGTAGTACAATCTTAATCAGCATTGTATTGTAGGGAAACAGAGCTGGGTGCAAGTGTTATGTATATAAATACTGTACATTTTTTAAATGGCATCATTTCTCCCAGCTGGCAGAAGTACCTGCTCTGGATTACCCTGCCTTCACAAGACTGCTGGTACTTAAAGCCTCCTACACATAATCAAATAATGCAGTAAGAGAAAGCTGTTGGAGGAATGAGTATTTCGAATATTTGATCTGGTAATACTCTTGTTTTGCTTAGCTATGAGATAAGTGAACTACTTGCCTCACCTTATATGTATTCCAAAATTTCTTTCTACAGTCTGAAAAGATATCCTCTTTCTTCTGAAGGATGCTCATACCTGGTGGCAAAATATTTACAATGATCAGAAAAATGTAAAAATTAAGTGTTCACTTTTTACAATGATATCCCAAACTCTTCTCAGAATATGTTACAATAGCTTTAGAAAGAAAAGATACCATTCCAGCTACCTAACAGTGCTACATCAGAGATCCTCAGCTACTGACTTGGCTCTCAACGTTGGCACTGTAGATCACCAGGAATATACTGTACAGGTGGTATATCACATCTGTTCCACTGCCACATAATTCACCAGTGGTATAGAGTGGAACAGGCATGATGGAACCTTTTACACCCTTGAGATAGAGAAAATAAGACACTCTGTTCCCTATGGAAATGTCAGGAGCGGCTCAGATCCTCAAAGGAGTTTAGGTGCCTACAGACCACTGAAGGCAGTAGAGAAGGGCCCCTGATTTTTATTTTCCTTTTTAATTTCAGCCATAAGCATTATTTTTTCCTTCACAAATAATTGTATCAAATCCAAATTCTAGTACTGACAACCAGAACAGTTTCAAACCTAATTGTTTAACTCTCCACATACAATGTTTCAAAGTTTTAAATAAATTCCAGTTCATCCAATCTCCTCCGGATGCCAATAAAACCCAACCTCACACCAGGCTCCCACCATTCCACCCAAGATCAAGAGAAAAGCAGTATGACTTGAAATTAGACATTACACACATGCAAACCAGAAACAGAGTGAACTCCCATCACATGAAATATCATTTAAAGAGTTTATTATTTTGAGCCCTTTAAATGATATTTCATGTGTCTTGTGTGATGAGAATCTTCAGGTGTCAAATGAAGACTGCATCTTTCTAAGGTATGAGGCAGCTTTTTTAAGATCACTCACCCTAACTGGAAGACATGACTCATATTTTGCAAAGGTATGAGAAAATATGCTTTTAGCAAATCTAATAAAATCAAAAGCACATAAGAAGGGGCCCAAAGTTGCTTAGTCCAACGCAGGCATCCTTCTAGGTATTTGCATGCCATGAGGTGATTGGTATTTCTCAATCAAACATTATTTTGGAATCACACAATTCTGCTACCCAATTTAGGGATTTTTACCATCCCATTCATTATCCTTCAAACTCTGTTGGTCCTTAGGCAACTCTCTGCTTACATTCTGATACAGGCAGATAGGATTTTGAGAGTATCTGGCATACTTCTTCCTTCCTTTCTTTCCAATCACGAACTGAATTATTTCCCTGTCAGGGTCATAAAATGCAGATGTCACAATGCCAGGCAAAAAGATCACACATCTTGCTCTTCTTCCACATGACATTTAAGTTAAATGACAGCCTTTTTTTACACTAATCTCACCTATTATTCTTCTTATTCCATCATGTTTATTTTTTAAATAAACACTCAAGTGTCTTTGTACTCGATGGTTTTTAAGATCATACAGTACTAATACGCTGTATTTCTACATACTCTCAAAGCAGAAGGTGGTACAATTTGCTGAACTATGGCATTTCCTTACATTTATAGCTGTTTGTGTTTAGGAAAAGAGCGAGCTGATACGGAGAACTGAGCAGAGCAATTCAAGCAGACAAGAACGGAATAATCCTTTTCAGGTGCTTTTCATTCTTTGTCACTAACAGCTGCAGGGCCCAACCAAGCTCAGCGCAGGGCTCTCCTTGGCACAGCACTCGGTGCCTAAAGCTCTGCGTGTTGGGCTGTTGTGTACACAGCCTCGGGCGGAGCTACCGGCGCCTGCGGGTCCCGACCATCTCCTAGCTCCGAGCTCTGCTCCGCCTGCGGCGTCTCCCGAGCTCTGGCAGGGCTGCGCAGCAGAGCAGGCAGCCCGCTGCCCAAGCACCGCGCAGCTCCGCACCGGCGGCCCTGGGGCTGCGGAAGAAGAGCCGCAGCGATCACCGCCCGGAGGGTAGGGGGGCACCCGGCCAGCCCGGCGTGCACAGCCCCTCTTTCGGTAGGCGCTCTTTCCTCGGCGTGCGGCCCCCCAGTTCTCCTCCCGCCGCCCCGAGATGGCGGTGCCCGGGCGGCGGCACCACTCACCCGTGTAAAAGGCGAGGACGGCGACGGGGGCGCCTAGGAGCTGGTCGCAGAGCACCTTGCCGAGGACGGCGGGCGGGCGGCGGCCGGGCAGCGCCCGCTCCAGCGCCCGCAGCCAGACGTAGCTGAAGTTGCCGTGGAAGGCGAGAGCCACCAGCGCCACTCGCCGCGTCTGCGCCCAGTCGGGCGGCTGCCCCCGCCGCCGCCACAGCTGCTGGGCCGCGTCTCCCGCCGCGAAGAGCCCGCCGTACAGTAGCACGTTGCAGAGCCAGGGGAAGCGGCGCACTCCGCCACGCAGCAGCGCCCCGGCCATCGTCTGCCGCCTCTTCCGCCCGCCGTCGCCTCCTCCGCCTCCTCGCAGGCCCGCCCGCCGCCACCGCCCTCCCTGCGGTCCGCGCGTACCCTCGGAGCTCCCCGCCCGGGTGCCACCGCAGCCGGGCCTGCCCCTGCAGTTAAGGGCCGGCAAGCTGCGGTGGGACCCGCGCTCGGACTCCCCGCGCCGGTCGCCGATGGGCTCGTGGGTGGCCGCAAGGTACCCGGGCTCTGGCTCGTGGTCTTAAGTTCACGCAGAAGTAGGTTACTGTGTCTTGCTGGGCTTTGGTCTAGGTCGCACTATGGATGTACCGCACAGTATTGCTGCAATGATTAAGAGACAAGTGAAAACTAGGCGCTGTTCGCTTATTGTCTAATTATCTCCTTGTCGCTTGCTTACGTGAGCACGTTATGGGGTTTTCTTTTCAAATTTGCTGTTGTTTCGCAGTCTGGTTTCCGCTGCCTGATTGTGCGGGGCTGGTGCGCACCTGAGCACCTGCGCGGTTGCCGGTTGCTCTTGGGCCATGTGAGGAGAAAAGCCAGCAGTGATGTATGCTTTATTCGAGACTCGTGTACGCAGCTTTACACTTACGGAACCGTGGCAAAGGAGCAGATCTGACGTCCAGGCAGCGAGCTCACTGCTGGGAACCGGTGCCTGAGGGGCAGCTCTTGAACACAGGAGAGGGCCGGGAGCTCCCGGTGCTAGCGGCGGGCTCAGGTCTGGCTCGGAGACTCACCTCCTTTTACGAGGTGTCAGTTCGCTCCGTGTCCCGATAGCAACTGGGATGAATGCGCCGGAAGCCATCGTGAAGCCTTCCAGGGTTGCTATAAATAGGCACGGATGGCTTGTAGATTGAAAAACGTTTTAATCACAAGGTAGAGCGAAGTGAGCTGCCCGGTGCTAGAAACACCCGCGCTGGCCACTCCGCTGTCCTCACACACAGACATGGCCAGGAGGGAAACAGCCTCCTCGGTAGTCATAGAATCGTCTTGGTTGGAAAAGACCTTTAAGATCAAGTCCCAACCACTCACATCTGACACCTACAAGTGGAGCTATTAAATAACAGAAATAGCGTTCGGAGGAAGAGGAATGTGCACCAGCGAGTAACTACAGCTGGCAGGACCAACAGGAACGCTCTGGACAGCGGGGTTTGGCTCTCCGGTGCTCGGCCCCGCGGCCCATGGCCTCTGGCGGCGTTGCCAGGGCCCCCCCGTGGACCCCTGCGTGCACGAAGGTTTTGTCGCTGCCGTAACGAACCCCGCAGGCCAAGCGGACGGCCCCGGGGTGACAGCCGAGAGATGTGTGAATGCGGGAGCCCTCCGGGGTAGCCGGGGACCGAACCTCGACAAGCCGGCAGCACCCCACACACCTCCCGCCTCCCTGCTCCGCTCCACAGCGGAGCCGTGCGCATCGCGCTCACTGCGCATGCGCTAGTACCTGTCACCTCCCGGTCGTGCTGCGGGCCTGTTCCACCAGCTGCAGCGGGTGGTGAGCGGGAGGGAGGGAGCGGGCCGCGGCATTACCACGCTTTCTGCGGTGCCACTGCCTCGCATTCCCCCCGCCCGTGTGCGCGGTGGTTTCGGCCGCGGGGCGGGCTTGTCGCCGTTCCCTAGGTGAGCGCGTTCTCGCCCCGCCTGCTGCGGCCTCGTCAGCGCTGCCAGCGTGGAGCCGACTGGGGCTGAGGCGGAAGTGCCTGACGGGGAGGCGGCGCGCACCGGGGAGTCCGCCGGCTATGGACGCTTCTCTGGAGAAGGTCTGCGGGGCGTGCCGGTGCCAGCTGGACGGGGAGGGGCGGTGGGGGCTAGGGCACCTGCGTGCGGAGGAGTGTTGAGGCGCGACGGGCCCCGGGGGCGAGCGGGCGGGCCCTGACGGTCGCCTCGCTGCGGGGTTGTGGGGCCGCGCCCGGGGCTGAGGGTAGCGAGCTGGGGCTGGGGCGGCGCTCCCCTGGCCCCTCGGCTGTGGCGGCGTCGCGGCTCAGCCAGTTCTGGGGCTGTTGGACCCGGGGGGCTGTGCCCGCCCTGTGTCACGCAGGCTGCGGCCGTCAGCGCAGTCCATAGGCGAGCCCTGTCCCGTGGCCATCGGCGCCTGTGTGAGCGCCGTGTTTGCGTGTCCCGGGTCTGTAAGAAGTGTGCAGAACTGTCAGGAAATGCTTTAGGAGCTGTTTTTTTTGTTTCCTGGGAATGTCAGCCTGCAGCAGGATAGTAGAATCTTGGTTTACTTCCCACACACACAATTTTATACTGGTGGTGTTTGCTGCCCTGTTTGCTCTCTTGTGTCCAACGCACTGTACAAAGCAAATATTGATTCTGTAACACCGTGACTGACAAAACTTGTGTTGCCTTTGTCACTGTGAGTCAGTCAGAACCCGGTAAAGTAATCCGGGATATGCCATGCTTCTGCTGGCTTCCGTGGCACCTGCTTGCTTCAGAAGACCTGCCCTGGAAGGTGGGGATGGAATGGCTGCTCGTGCATAGCTTATCATGCTTGTTGTGTGTCTTCGAGGACAGTCTGCATTTGAAATAATTCATATTTCATGTACTTCCTTCCTCAGCATTACTTATTATACACAGCACATTCAATTTTGTCCAGTGTTTGGAATGCCTTGGAAAGGTTGAATGGGATGTGTTCTGGTAAAATGAATAGTTAGGAAATTCAGGAAGTATCTTCCTGATGTGGTTAGTGACTTGGTAGCCAAATGGTTTGATATACTACAATCCACATGAAGAATACAATGTTAAAGCGTATTTGGTAGCATTTAAAAGCTCAAGTGCTTTACTAGTGCTGGCAAAAGTTACGTTGTCTACTGCTTGTTCTGAAAAGTTTTCACTACTTAAGTAAAACTTGAATGAATATACTAGTTTGAAATACAGTTTTCATCAACAGAACTAAAGCAGAATAATGACACAATATGTAGTGATTAAAAGAAAGCACATTAGCACAGGGCAAGTGTTTGTCCTACAGTAATGACAAAGCCCTTAAACTTTGTTTGACAGGGTCATCATAAGCAATAAAAATGCCATACAAGAATTAAATACCTTAATTTCTTAACAGAATAAAAGTCCAAGTTTTGGTTGCTTGTATCCTTGATGTAAGGAATAGTCTGTAACGGTGAGGGCCCTGCAAAAACTCGCATGTCTGATTTTTCAGTGTATGCAAATAGATATGAATAGTTATCATTTGGTTTACTTCCTCCCTTGTTTATCATGTCTTTTTTCCACATGTATGCTGAAAGCTACACATGCTACAATACAGTAAGGAGTTAGTGTCCTACTGATAGTCTTTGGTTAAGATTGTTGTCAGTCTGTACAATCTGCACTTTATTTAGTCAGGAGCATGATATGTAAGAAGTCTTCTCCCTAAATAAATTTGAAATTAATACAAATTGGGATATGTTTCTCCTCAGAGAAAGTGTGTCCACGTATTTTTGGGCCTATTTATGCATTATCATAATACATCTGAGATTGTCTTCTGATCACAAGCAAAACCACTGTAGAATCTGATGCATACTAACAATCTCATAGTTTGATTTTGCAGATTATCTTTGAGGTATCAGACAAATGTTTTGGTTGGGTTTTTTTTAATGTGTTTATATTGTATATGTGATATAATTAGAATGAATTTTATCTGAAACCCAGAAATCTTTTTTTTTTTTTTGAGTGAACTTCAAGTTTAAGTTCTTTGGGAAGCCTGTGTTAAATTTCAGAAGTTTGACTAACAGATCTATGATCTGCCTTCCTCCCTGTATTATATTTTGATAAAAGTGACCCATCTTCTGAGGGATTTTAAGTTTCAAGTTAGGTAACTTTGTGTATGGTAAAATAGGGCAAATTCTTTCCTTGTAGCTTCTTGCAGTCTCTAGAGCAATGTTTTCCCTGAATCCAAAGAAACTGGTTTGGTTTCTTGCTCAGTCTTTTGTTACTGACAGCAACATCCTGGTAACTTCGTGGAAAACTCGTGACAGCAGACCTGTATGAAAATCCTGCTGCATATCACAGGGAAGAGATAAAGAAAGATTAAAAGAGCAAATACCCATGAGCAGAAGCTTTGTGGTAATACAGTGCCATTTTCATTCTAGCCTAACAGTCATGAAGTAGCTGCTTTTTTATTTGTTATACAAAACTTTTCTTTGCCTGGATAATAAATACACAAATTCTTTTGGCTAAAGAATACTGCTGTTGTTTGAAATTAATTTACTGTTGAGAACAGGATTTGTTTTTTTGATAGAAAAGCTTTCTTCTAGTTAAATGTAATATTGTACTGGGAAAATGAGGCATACTCGTCATGAAATACATAATGAGTTGTACCTGTGACTTTGCACACACAGAATAATTTCTGTAGACAGTTTAAAAATCATTCCTTTCTTATATTAGGAATGCAGCCTACAGAAATGCAAAATCAATATTGTAAACCAGTGGTACATGAAGCAACAGTCTCCTTTTTGAGTTTGTAATAAATGTTTAGTCTTATCGCTACTGGAGAGCATCCAGGTTGCCAAGGTGTGGCATACTGCCTATAAAACCAGAAATGGTTTAGAGTTCAAAGTGCTTAAAAAAATAGTAACAGATTAATTACAAAATAAGGGAGTAACGACAAACCAAACCTATCACGAGTTAATCTGAGTGAATAGGGTTAATACATTTTTAAGGCAACAAATGATAAAAGTCAAAGTAGGGTAGTGAACATCAGGGTCTTTGGAGGGCTTAAGGAAGCAGGAGGTATTGGTGCTGAATGGATTCCTTGAAGAAAGAAGCTGTGGCTGGTGCCTCCTTAGAGCATGAAAGGGTATTGCATGTGTTGTAACTCGTCAAAGAATCACCTGTGATCGATTGGAGTCAAATCCTGGGATACCAGGGGCAGGACTGAGTGCAAAAATTAAGGTTAATATAGTAATGCAGCTGTTTTAACCTCCTCAAAAAATGTCTTGTCCTGTGGTTCAGGACATAGTATTCAAAAACCCATCCACCAGTGTTCTTAAAGCAGCTCACGAACATGAAAAATGTCTTCTATTTATTATTATTTGGATTTTATACACATTTGATCCCGTTTACAGACAGAACTAAAGCATTGTATTATGGCATGTTATTGAAGTCTGTTCAGAAACAACAGAATGGTTTGTTGCTGCAACTTTGCCATACCTATTTTTCTTGCTGCTTAAAATAAGGAGAGAGTCTTCTGCTTTCCATCTCTCTGCCCTTAATAATGTGAGCAGAGCAGGAAGCGTATCTAAAATTCAGTATGCAGTAGAAAAAGGGTTTGTTGGGTTTTTTTGCTTCTCATAATTCAAAGGAGAAGATAAGTTGCTGCATATCTACTTAGCCATTGGGAAAAAAGAGCAGGGGTTCATTTTCCAATCAAACCCAGAATTTCAGTTAGATTTTTTAATTAAAACAAATCAAAGACTTTCTGGATTTCATAGCATTTTTGGAGTTTAGTGTAACTTCTTAAGACTTTCAAAACTATATGTATTTATTCTGCCAGCAGAAGGGTTTCATGCGTGTGTAATTACT